ACCCTTACAAATCGATTTGTAGGGCTTTTAAACATCGAAATTGGTTGCAAAATCGAGTTACCCATTGCATATAACACATGTAGGTGTTGAAATTACCTGAAAAAATCGAAGCCCAAGCTCGATTTTGGTTGATTTCGAAATTTTTCGAAAAAAAAAAAAATTTCTGAAATTTTTGGAATGGGGGGTAATTGGAGAGAATTTCGAATTTTAGGGGTTTTAGAGAGATAAACTGTTTTTTACTTTGAACGGTAAATAGCACTTATTAGCCCGTAAAGAGCATTTTCTTAAAAAAATCCGACGATCAATTGTAATCTCTCCAATCCCCAGATTAAACCCCGTCGGTGGCAGAAGTTGCAATGTCGATGCCCATCGTCGCCGCCGCCGCCGCCGCCACCGGCCGTTATCCCTCGCCGTATTCTGTGAAGGCGATGGAGCTGGTGAAGAGGAGATGGGAAAATAACAGGCATTCCAACAATATGACTACCGTATTGGGTAATGTGCTCCGGCTATGCTCGCCGCCGTGGTTATGGTGGTGGGGGATATACGGAGTAAATTGGATGTGGATAATTCTTCATAGGGTGGCTATTTCCAGATTGTAAGCCATTAAATTTACTGTTTTGATGAATCATATGAAAATGCAATTGCCTTTCTCTATGCATTTTTTTTAATTGCAGTATGTTAATCGCAATTGGTAACCATGAATTTCTGTTTAACGAAATTTCTGTTTAATAAAAATTTGATTACTTTGGTCGAATTAATTGGGGAACCTCATACCTAATTGAACTCATGGGAGATTCAGTATTGTATCAATTTATATGTTTAAGTGATTTATTTGTTAATCGCAATTGGAAACCATGAAGAACCGCTAGTAGCTGCACTAGTCTTATATACTTCATTTTTGTTTAACAAAATTTCGAGTACTTTGGTCGAATTAATTGCGGAACCTCATACCTAATTGAACTCTTGGGAGATTCATATTTCCAGTGCCTCTTTTTTTTTCGTTTCCCTGTGAATTATTTTATCAATGTATAAGTATAAGTGATTATATGATTTTTTCCGAAAAAAAGAAGTGATTATATGATTAATACCTAGGATTAACACCAATTGTTGCTCCTTATTTAGAACTCGTATTCTCTATAGGAAATTACTCATCCAAATATTTATCTCATCTTCTTTGTAACTTGATGGTTCCTACTAATTTTACTTCTCATTGTTTGAAGGAATATGGAGCATGATCGAGAGCTAGCGAGAGATGTATTTTCAGTATCAGGTAATATTTTAATCTGGATGTTGAAGAGTAGCCTTAGTAGTGTTTTGTTGAGTGTCAAATAATCGAAAAGTGCTTCATCTGATAACATTTATATGAAGAGCAAATATCGCGGAAATGACTGCGGGACTTAGTTATATGAAAGAGCATCTCGCTATTGAGTTATTTTATGTTTTCAATTACTTTTTTTCAAGTATTGATCAAATATAATATACACATTTCAAGTTATGAGATGAGTTTCCAGGATATACTATGATTAACTTGAATAAGTTCAAGAGAAATTTGGTTTTAGGAAAACAAAAACTTAGAAAGAAAGCGAGACCAGTCAAGAAGCCCTTGTATACTAAGAAGCCCTTGTTGTAGTTTCTTAAAAAAAATTTGGCCTTATAAATGGCCTACAACCCGTTCCCAAAGAGAATTGAACCCTTGAATAAATACAAGATAACAAACTTAAGAAATGCAAGATAATCATCAAATAGGACTCTTTTGTGTGTCATGGTAATAAAGCAATTGAAATTCTGGTTGCCTAAAAATCCACTGATTTCCACAGTTTTAATATGGCAATGATTTATTGGTGACGATGTACAGTCTTGATTATAATAACTAATTTGCTTATGCATTTAAGGAGTGCACCATCATCTTTAGAAGCCGCTATTCAATAATATTTTGTCTGGATTTTTTAATAAAATGAAACCAGGCCTGATCATTTAGACGATAAAGTAGTCGCAAAAGAGCTTTTTAGCAATGGTCTTGGGTTGTTCAGTCCTTGAGTTTTTTGCTTTTATCATACCTAGGTAAACTAAATTAATGGCTCAAGGAAGTTCACAATACACTGTATGGTACATTTCATATCTCGCCAAATGTCATTTTGCTGCCAGCTACGATTGGTGCAACTGCTAATATGTAAAATTAGCTGGCATCGTCATTGGATATGAAGCAATTTATTGGGGATCGATACAATCAATGCTCACCTTATCGCTTTTATTGGCGGAGTTTCCCACAAATAAATTTTACCCTACCCTCCCTACTCCCTATTCCCATTCTACTTTCTCACACATTCTCTGCATCTTTCAATACCTTGTTCAATTTTCGATCTCCATCTCCTCATTTTCTCTTATCAAAGGTTCAAACTCAGAGGAGTTTGTGATCTGATTTAGGTGATTTTACTTCATTTTGTGTTTGAATGATGCCTATGTTTTTATGTTATTTTTTGTTGGTTTTCCTTTTTTTTTCGTAAACTAGATCAACTGAGTGGTTACTAATTTTCCATTACTTTCATATTTCGTTTCATGACTTACACGATATCTTTTATTTTAGATTAGAAAAGAACATGTGTTTGTTCTCATCTTGATTTTGAAGATATATTTTGGACTAGTTTTTTTATTCCTCCTTTTGGTGGTTGTTTTAGTGGTTATGTTGTTGTTCAAACAAACAATTTTGGAAAAAAATTGTTACGTAAATAAGGTGGGTTTAACTCTGCTTGTAATTAAAACATAAAATAATAAATTACAAGTAGAATGGACCAATCCTTAAGAAGAAACCAATAACTACTATGATATTTACTTTGCAGTTTGTTTCTACTTGATTATGAGCCATTTGATTAAGTTGTTAAACTTGTACTCATATATTCTCGAATATTATTCTTTTGTCTCTGCTGTAACCCATTTCTTCAAATAAATGTACAATTGCTTAGTGGTTTCAATTTGGTTGTTATTCTCTGCTAGTCTTTAGGTTACAATACATGCATGTCTTGAAATAACTTCATCTCTCATAGATTTTGTAACCTTTAAAAAAAAATTCCAGCGTAGGCTATCTAAACATATTAACAATTTAATTTTAATTTTTGTAATATTTATTTAACAGATTATGGAGAATTAAGACCAGTTTTATTGTCAGTGTGCATAAGTAGTAAGTAGCAATAATATAAAAATAAATACTTTTCCTAAAATGTTCTTAAGGAATGCTAATCTAGATTTTCTTCCTGGATTCCTCCAATTTAGTGGCATGGTAAGTAAAAAAAACATTTTTGGTCTGTGAAAAGGAAAATTATTTATATATTCTGTCAATGTGCATAAGTAGTAAGTAGCAATAATATAAAATAAATATTTTTCCTAGAATTTCCAATATAATTCGAGATTTACTTCGTGGGTCCCTCCATTTTACAGGCATGGTAAGTAAAAACATTTTTGGTCAGTGAAAAGGAAAATTATTTCTATATTCTGTGAATCTGCATAAGATTGTACTAATAAGCATAAAATTGCAATAGTCAGCATTATATTGCAGTGAGCAGTATCGGATTACACTAATCAACATAATTTTCCTTTTTTGCTGGTAAGAAATTCTTATTTGGTCTTCCCTGGAACAATTATGCTTACATTTTTGCCATTGCAGTTAAGAGAACGCGGTGCCTGATTGAGAAAACGATTGAAAAACAAGATTTACAAAGACAATTAGGAGTTGAAATGATGCCGTGGAGAAGTTCAAATGAAGATGCATCTTCTGCTGGAAATATGCAGATGAACGAACCCAACTTAAAAGTAAATTAGTAATGTTAATTGTGACAGATCTATCTGGAAAAAATGTGCCTTCCGTGTATTCTGTATATCAATCAAGTTTTGAAATCTATCATATCCTTGACCATTACATAACTATGAACAACATTTTATTTTCCCTTTTAACAATTTTTTCCAACGTCAGATCATAGTTCTAAAAAGGGAATAAGAATTGATATAAGTATATCGGTGCAAAATTTGGATATCCCTGCAATTGTCTTGTATCAACTTTCTCTTTCTACTTCTTTTTAGAAGTAAAAGTTTCAAATTTCAATTATATTTGTTTATATTTTGAATTAGACCCCATGTGTAAATACCAAGTTAAAAGAACCTTTTTCAGACTATTTATTGTTAGTCTTCAATGTAAATAAACGTATCTTTATTATTTTAGTCAACAGATCTAACATTAGATATCCATTGGACATGAAATAACTTAATGACACTGATAGCAGAAAACCATTACCTATCACAACAAGAAATGTTGAGGTCTTAGTGATGATTGTATCCCGGACTATAAATCTCATCTAATAACTCCCTTACCAACTTTACGTTTCATGAAGTAAGATATTCACAAGTCAGGACAATGAGTTCCTGTGTTAATATTTTTTTCATTGGGTGTGGCAGAGGAAAAGAAGCGATTCAAATAATTGCCATCAATGTCGCAGAAACGACAAAGGAAGAGTCGTGAGATGCACAAGGTGCAATAAAAAGGGTTACTGTATTACATGCATCACAAAATGGTGAGGAATTGTGTTTTTTTTTTCTTTTTTCTTTCCCATCTTTCAGCTCTATATTATGGTACTAACGTCTTTTCTTATAACAAAAATCATTGGTTGGAAACATGTTTTCAAGTAAATGAATCAAATGTTTCCACACTAGAATTATTTCCTGCACCCTCATGCTTATAGTTATAAATGTGGAAGATAAACAATTACATGATGACGTTCTTTTTTGTTCGCCAACTATTGCATATTTTTTCTCTCCGTGTACTGATAGCATGAAATAATTAGTTGCTTTGTGTTTTCTGCCATAATATTTGGTTAAGTTTCATCTGCACTACAACTATTCAGCTTCACTGTTTGAACAATATTGTATGCATAAGATTGTATTTAATTCCATCATGTCAATCATATCAGTTCTGTTTTGCTTTTGTTGCTTATATGTTGTGGTATACCTTAAATCTTTGTTTTATCTTTCTCTTCAATGTCAAATTATTTGATGTTTTTTGAGACTGAAATGTACTTATAATTTCTGAGTTGTTCTTTAGCAAACTTGATTTTCGATTTTACTGCCTAAACGGTATAGTTATTATCTTCTCTTTGGAAGATGGCAGTCCATGCCCTTTCCGGTTGAGGCATATCTTATACTCATTTTTACAGAACTTTGTTTAAACATGTTTTGAAGTAAATGAATCCTCATGCTTATATTTTTGTTTTTTCATCAATGTTCTTGCATATATATTTACTATATCTCTGTGGTAATTACAGGTATGCAGGGATGCCCCAGTTGTCGTAACATATATATTTACTATATCTCTGTGGTATTTTGCTGAAGCATGCCCCAGTTGTCGTAACATTTGCAACTGTACAGCTTGCTTACAGTCTGATGTGGCTAATGAAGTTCGTATTAAAGTACACTTATCTTGATTTTATCTTGATATAGAATTATATATTTGTTAATTATTTTATTGTTCTTGCATGTTAGGAATTGCTGATCCCAGACCTTTGCATCAGTGACAAGACTCAGTACTCAAAGTATATTGTTCGAGTACTTCTTCCGTTCTTGAAGAACTTTGTCGCTGAGCATAATATGGAAACAGACCACGAGGCCAGAATTCAAGGTAATTTTAACTTTTATTAGGAGTTTTGAAGTTCACCCGGATTACACTTTTTTTTTGGAAGCTTAGTTTGCATTCGCTGCCTGAAAAGAAAGTCAAAGAGTCTTAGAATGGTGTTTAATGCGATGTAGAACTCGTCAATATCTTCATTTTTGGAAATTTCAGGGACATCTAACAATATTATTTTCTGCGGTGTAGAAGTATTAAGCATATCTAAAGTTCATGGTTACGACTTGTTTCCCTATCAATTATAGTTTCACTGCTTGATGAATTACAATATTTTTTTGGTTGGACAGGCTTATCGGTTGCAGGACTACGGCTTCCCAAAGCAAACCATAGCCATGAATATCAACTGAAAAAATGGTAGATATTTCGAACCAATTTCTTTTCTCGATAATTCTCTGCTCCAATATGCAAAATGTTGATTTTAGAACTTATTCTGTGCAGCGGTAATTGCAAATCTTCAGTATTTGATATTCACCGAAGCTGCCCAAACTGTTCATACAAGCTTTGTGTGAGCTGCTGCCAAGAGATTAGAAACGGCTTTGTTTCTGACTGTAAACTGACAAATAACGGTAACATTATTTGTCCACCTCAAGGCATGGGGGGCTGTGGTCCGAGGATTCTGGAGTTGAAGTCCACGTATCCAGTTAACTGGATATCGGAACTGCTAACCAAAGCAGAATTCGTAGCTGATGGTCATGAACCTTCTGAACGAGCATGCTCATGCTCGGGATACAATCGTGGGAGTGAATCGGATAACTTCCATTGTCCCATTGTTGACGGCGTTGAAACAGCGGACCAAAAACATTTCCAATGGCACCTATATAAAGGTGAGCCTGTAATAGTCCCTAACGTCCTCAACAAAACGACTGGGTTGAGCTGGGAACCGTTAGTCATGTGGCGCGCCTCTCGCAAAATTAAAAGCACCCATGACTTGCGTATTCTGGAATTCAGCATAATGAACTGCTTAAATTGGTGTCAGGTAAGTCAACTTCTCTAGTATGTTTTACCCTATCAGAGACGCAAATTATAATCTGGATTATGTGATTTGGATTCCTCATTCCTCATCCTTTTGTTAGATTATCTAATAAATCCTTACGTAGGTTTTCGATGGTATGTTGCTAAGCCACACATTCTTCATGTTTACTTTTGTTTTCGTGGTGTAATAATTTGATTTTGGGACTATGACATGCAGGAAACAATTAACATACACCAATATTTCAAAGGATACACTGAAGGCCTCTGGGACAGTGAAGGTAGGCCCAAAATATTAAAGTTGGAGGATTGGCCTCGAGCTGAATCATTTGCAGAACGATTGCCGAGGCATTTCCAAGAGTTTGTCAAATGCTTGCCTTTCAAGCATTATACTCATCAAGCTGGCTACCTAAACATGCCAGCTAAAACACCAAAGAAATCTTTGAAGCCAGAGTTGGTTCCAAAGATATGCTTTGGTTATGGAGTCGATGAGCACCTTGGCTTTTGTTCCGCAACCAAGCTCCAATATGGTCTTTCAGATATGGTACATTTTTTCTACATTTTTTCTGTTATATCTATCTTTATTAAATTGAGTGTTATTTTTCCATCAGACTTCCTACTGCATTAATAGAAACATTGCATCAATAGAAATAGTACATCTCCCATGGTGATTTAGTGATATTGGTGAGTTAACACCAATCACCAAATATATTGTTTCCACAAGCAATCAATTTTTATTTTAGAGTTAATAGCATTTCGCCACCTAGACTTTGCCCGTTTTTGCATTTTGCCACCTTAACTAAAAAAAGTTGCAAGCGCCCACCCAAACTCAGTTTTTTGACGCACATAACCACCTAAGGGGAATATTCCGGCGAAGATTCTTATTTTTCAACACACGCGCGATGCACATGCGAAAGTACAAGGGGTTTTTCGTCTTTTCACCTCAAAATATCATAAGAGGGTGAAATTGAAAGTACCAGGGACTCAATTGAACTTAATTTGAAACTTTAACAAATTTGAAATTAATTGAAGCTTTGTGGCTTCATCTTCCATGGGATAAAAACACCATTTTCTTTTCTGAATGATGATGCTTTCCAACTGCTAATTTACAAATGGAACCCAGAAAACAGAAAAAAGATGAACATAATCAGCTCAAATTACAGTCATGCAGAGATAAATAAAAATATTATTCAACCCTTAATTTTCAAACTTTAAAAAAAGAGGTAATTGCAAATACAACCGTTGTGTAATCTCTAATTGCCAGATAACCCCTGTGAAAAAAAAAACTCACCAACACCCCCTTGTGTTAACAAAGTCAAGGCATCGACACCCCTGGACGCAAATCGTGTCACTCACTCGCAGGTTGTGCGATTTTTAATGGTATTTTTAGGGTGAAATGTCATAAATACCCCTTTATAAAATAAAAAATAATCTTGCTGGTTAAATTATGAATAACCTAAATTTATAGGACCAAATTGTAATTTCAAGAATTGCAAAATAAAATAATAATGCAGAAAAATATTATAAGAAAAGGGGTAAATAGCATTAAACCACCTGAACTTTTTACATTTTTGCACATCACCACCTGAACAAATTTTTTTTGCAGGAATTCATCTGTACTCAATTAAATGTGCCACATTACCCTTTTTTACCTGTTTGCAGGTCAAAATGACCGGTTCTCGCCCCACGTGCGTTTCACATGACAAATACAAGGCTATTGATGTCTTTTCCCGTCCTAAAATACTCAGCTCTAATTCCTGTTGAAATTCACACATTCTCACACATTTCATTTCATCCACTCTTCATCGTTTTCTAGGGAAAATCAAATCAAAGTAATTCCAAATTACAAAATCACAAGGGTGCTTGGTTCAGAAGAAAATGAATCAAAGTAAATCCAATTTCTTTTGTTCGATTTGGTAATCAGACGAAAATGAGAAAATAAACTATTGTTTTATAATTTTTCATAAAATAATAAAACCCCAAAAAAAAAAGCACTTTCAGACCCAATCCCCTACCAAAACCCACCCATACACCTACCCACCCAAAACAAAAATTGAAACCACGTCGTATCCAGAGGATGGACTTGCCGTTAAATTCAAGTCATGAAGGGGCGGAATTGGGTGAAGCAGTGTGGGGATGGTGATTAGAGAAACGATAGGCTTATTACCTTCGTGTTTGCTTTCTCCGGTGCAACGGTGGTTGGGTTGGTGGTTGTTGTTATAGCAGCCACATGCTAATCCTTTTCCGGTTCCTCATTTGGAGTGAGGCAGCGCCGGCAATTGGGAACTACCACCGGCGGTGGTTGGGGTGACGGTTTTTGCAGCACCCGCCGCCGCCGCATGCTAATCTCTTTTGTTGGTTCCTCCTGTGGAGTGAGGCGGCATCGGCAGAGGCGGCGATGGGTAACTAGCACAACCAAAGAAAAGAATAAGAAGAGAGGAAGTACAGGGGAATGGAGAAATGGAGGGAAGGGGAGAATGATAGACAAATTAGAGAAATAAAGGAGAAAAATGAAGGATAAATAATGGGGATAACGGGGAAATTGAGGGAAATTTGAAGCAATTAGGGGTTTTTTAATGGAAAAGCCAACAATACCCTTGGATTTCGCATGTGCAACGCGCGTGTGGCCAGAACCGGTCATTATGACCTGAAAACGGGCAAAAAACGGCAAAGTGGCACAATTAATTGAGTACAGGTGAACTCGTGCAAACAAAATATTGTTCAGGTGGTGATCCGCAAAAACTTAAAAAGTTTAGGTGGTTTAATGCTATTTACCCTAAGAAAAATAAAAAAAAGAAGAAGAAGACAGAACATCGTCTTCTTCCCCCTTCCCCACCCCCAAACCCCAACCCTAACAAGAGAAGAGAAGTTCAGCAACACCAACTCATCTTCTACGATTCCCATACCAGACCCGAATCCGTATAACTCGACGCTAATTAAGTCCCAATTACAGCAATGGTTATCTAAAATCTCCAAGCAATTTCTCTCGACGGCGACGACTTTGACAACGGCTGAATTTGCTAGGTCAAAATTGCGTCTTTTGGTTCTTTTCTCTTCTCTTGCTCTTTCTTATCGCCACCACCGCCGTCAAAATAAGAGATTGGGGGAAGGTTTGAGGGTCGTGTAAAGTTATTTGTTGGTGGAAACTAAAGTTTCAATAAATTAAAATTTATTGGTGGGCGGCAGATCTAGAGAAGATGGTGGTGTTGGTGAAGGAGAGGTGAGATGGTGGTGAGCTGCGGCAGAGCCGGCAACCCGGTGGAGATATGGTGGATGAGTGCTGAGAGTTGGGTGGGAGGGTGGGGAAGAAGAACTTTTTTTTTTTTTTTTTTTTTTTCTTTTCTTTTCTTTATTTAATATATATAATGTAAAACTAAAAAAAAAAGTTGAAAACATATTAAAACTTTTAATGTTATAATATATATTTCATTCTCATTTAAATATATTTTTTATTTTTAGTATTTATAAAATAAAAAACTATATAATATCTATAAAATTATAATATATCCCCAAATAAGTATAGATAAATCCTCAAATACAAACTTAAAGCGCGGATCAGTCCCTACAGACGTTTTATAGGCGGATCAGTCCCTACTGCAGAGTTTCACATGCAGTTCAGTCCCTATGTTTATATTATTATATTATTTTTTTTCTCTCTCGGTCTCTCTCTTCATTTAATTTTTCTCTCTCTTCCTTTTTTCTTTCTTTTCTCTTTCTCCTTTCTCTTTTCTTTCCTTGCCCCGTTCCAATTCAAAACTCAATTTTCAGTTATTTTTCTTTAAACAACAAATGAAAAGGTGCAAGAAAAAACTCGTGAAGAAAACAAAATGAAAAGAGGAAAGAGACTCATTCTCGAAGAATTGTGAAGGGGAAGAAACGAGATTTGATTTTTTTTTCTAGTCACATATTTAAAAGATGTTTGATAGTTTGATATATGTTCTAAGAAAGACGCTTCTCGTATTATTTTTTGAAACATTTTGTGTTTTATGTGACTGCAGTAGTATATGTCGTATTAAACAATAGTATTGCTAGTGTGGTTGGATGGTGTTGAAATAACAGATGAAAAGTATTAGTAAAAGTGTCAAGGAAATTGGTTCAACTCAATTTATCACAAAATATAGTATGTTTTGTTCCACAAATTATAAGTACAATGTATAAACTGGTAAAGTTAGAGTTATTCATGCATATAATATTGCGAGTTTATTCATAATGTACTGTTATATTCTTTATATTATTGTGGGGCCAATGCATCCATATAATATCATTTTAAGACGCATTTCTTCATTTTAAGATTATTAACATGAAATGAGATGATGTAGGAGTTGATCAACATAGATTATGAGAACATTTGAGGGCAATTTTAGCTCTACGCATGAGCCTATACACTTATATGAGTATCATGTAATAAATCCAACACATTTATGGTATCTTGTACACTTATATGAGTATCATGTATGAAATTCAACATATACATGGCATTTTGTACTCCAAACGCAACAATAATGCTCACCAACCTTAACATACACATCTAAAACATAATTTATGCATCTCCTATACTAATTGATCATTAAAGTGTCATGGAAATCGGTATAACTCAATTCATCACAAACTATAGTCCGATGTGTGAAACACGTAAGTACAGTGAATACACATGTGAAGTACATGTCTAGAATTGACACGGTATCTTCAAATAAACTAGAAAATATGTGTTGTTCATTAGTATGGTACGCTTATATTATTTATATTAATTTGTGGCCAAGTCAACCATGTAAACTCAACTCATAACACAATATAGTACCATGACTTCAACAGTTAAGTACAATTCATCAAAATATATGGTACAATGTTTTCAGTATAAAGTACGAGT